TTCTGCTTACAAACACACCTGTGTCTCTCCCATCTTTAAAAGCCCTCACTTGATCTGGCCCTCCTTGGTAGCTATTGATTGTTGAATTCCTTTCCTCCCTTTTGGGGCTAAACTCCTTGGGAAAGCCATCTACAAATGATGCTTCCATTTCCTCTCCTCTCTTTCAATGCTAAACCCTCTGCAGCAGGCTTCTGACCTTCCCATTCATCTGAAATGGTTCTTCCCAAGGTTACCAAGAGCTCTTAATTGCTAACTGTAATGACTTTTTCTCAGTCCTCATCCTTATTGCCCCTCTATAGTCTTCAGCATTGTCAATCAACCTCCTCTCCTTCATAATTTTTTCTCTCTAGGTTTTCATTATACTGCTTTCTCTTGCTTCTTTTCCTATGTGTCTGACCACTCCTCCATCTCCTTTGCCACTGCTTTCTCCATGTCATGCCCGATCATTGTGGGTGTCCCTCAGGGATCTGCCTTGGGTCTTCTTCTATCTTGTCTCGCTTGGTGATCTCATCAGTTCTAATGGGCTCAGTTATTATCTCTAACAAAATGATCCTGATCTATTTTTGTTGTTGTTGTTTAGTTATTTCAGTTGTGCCTGACTCTTCATGACCCCATTTGGGGTTTTCTTCACAAAGATACTGGAATGGTTTGCTGTTTTCTGATCTATTTATTCCTCTCTCCTAATCCTTAGTTTCACTTCACCAGCTACCTCTTGGACATTTAGAACAGGATCCCGTGAATATTTCAATGCCAGTCTCATTTATCTTTTTCCCCAAATCATCCCTGTTTTCCATCTTTTCTCACTGTTGAAGGCACTACCATTTTCCCAGTCACCAAATCTTCTGACCTGTGTCACACTCTCCACTCTTCATTCTCATCCACCATACATATTCCAACATATTGCTTGGTTTTTCCATTTCCATCTTCAGAACATCTCTCACATAAGTTCCCTTCTTTCCACTTACAACATGACCGTGCTGTTGCAGGCCCCCACCACCTCCCTTCTAAAATACTACAATAACTTGCTTATTGTTCTCTCTACTTCAAATCTCCCCCCCAGTTTTATCTGTCCTCCATACAGGCTGCCAAAGTGATTGTCCTCAAATGCAGATCTGGGGGAGGTGGGGAGAGCCAAGATGGTGGAGTAAAAGCAGTGACTTGCTTGAGCTCTCCCCCAAACCCCTCCAAATGCCTGTAAAAAACGGCTTTTAACAAATTCTAAAGCAGAAGAACCCACAAAAAGAGAGAGTGAAACAAATTTCCAGCCCAAGACAACCTGGATGGTTGATTGGAAAGGTCTCTTGCGCTGGGCTGGGAGAGGAGTGCACAGGGTGCACAGGCAAAGACAAGGCCTCTGCGAACCCGGAGCAGGCATTAGGGGACTGAATCATGGGCAGTTGTGGTGGTTTCCAGACTTCTCAACCCACAAATGCCAAAGGCAACTTAGAAGGCCAGGAGGAAAGGTCTGTGACTGCAGAGAGAGAAACTTAGTCCCGGCCCCCGGAGTGGCGGCTACTTCTGGAACTCTCAGCTCACAGACAGAGGGGGAATCGAGTGGCTGATCAGCAGTGGAATTGCAGGGATCTCTTTGCTGCTCCTGAGGAAGGATTCTTTTGCTTTGCCCATGCTTGGATCTGAGTCACGGTTCTGGGTGGTGGTCCTGGGGCGAGGAGGAGCGCTGGCGTGGGGTGAAGCTTGTAGTAGCAGTGGAGAGGAAATCCTCCTCACAGTTCCAAGGCAGAAAAAAGTGCTTGTGGTCACTCACAGACAAGAGCACAGGCCAGGAAAGGGGTAAACACCTTGCTCTTGCTCTTGATCATACCACCTTGGAAGAACTGAAAATTTACAGGTCCCTAGAAGTATCTCTGAAAACAGCTGCACAAAACCCCTGAAGCTTGGGACAGTACATTCTCCACATTGGAAGCAGACCCCTACCTTAACAATAAGTTTAAAAGTTAAGTAATTGGCTGGGAACATGAGCAAAATGCACAAAAAAAGTCAGACAATAGAATCTTTCTTTGGTGACAAAGAAGATCAAAACATACAACCAGAAGAAGACAACAAAGTCAAAACTCCTACATCCAAAGCTTCCAAAAAAAAAAAATTTGAATCAAATGCAGATTTGACCAGATCAGCTGCCTCCAGGATCAAATATAAAACTCTCTGTTTGCTTTGAAATCCCTTCACAACCTGGCCTTTTCCTACTTTTCCAGGTTTCCAGGATTCTTACACTTTACTCCCCTCCACCTCCTATCAGACCCAGTGACACTGGCACTCTTTATGTTTCTGAAATATACCTTTCCACCTCTTATTTCCATACCTTTTTACTGGCCATCCCACATGCCCAGAATTCTCTCTCCCCTCAATTCTCTCTCCTGGCTTTACCAGATTCCTTCAAGCCTCAGCTCCAATCCCACCTTCTGAAGGAGGTCTTTCCCAATTTCCTCTACTGAAAGTGCCTTCCCTCAGAGATCACACTCCCTCTACTCTGTATATAGGGCAGCTAGGTAGTGCAGTAGATAGAACACTAGATTCATCTTCCTGAGTTCAAATGTGGCCTTAGACACTTACTAGCAATATGACTCTGAGTAAGTCACTCAACCCTGTTTGCCTCAGTTTCCTCATTTGTAAAATGAGCTGGAGAAGGAAATGACAAACCACTCCAGTATCTTTGCCAACAAAACCCCAAATGGGGTCACCAAGAGTCAGAAAAGACTGAAGATGAGTGAATAATCACAACGTTAAAATAATAATTTTAGAGGATTTTACTATAAGGGTTCTACAAAGTTTTGCAAAAATGGCATCATGAAGAGTCAGACATGACTGAAACGACCCACAAAACTTTCTATGTATCTTCTATGTACAAAGTTATTTATATGTTGTCTTCTCCATTAGGCTGTGAGCTCCTTGAGGGCAGGGTCTACATTTTGGTCTTTCTTTGTATCTTCAGTGCTCAGTGCAGTGACTGGCATGCCATAAACACTTAATAAATGCTTATTGACTGCTTATATGATGGAAGAAGCCAGGGCATGGGATTTCGCAGAATGAATGAGTAGGTGAGAAGGAATTAGATCTAGGTGAGTGTTTCTAGAAGTCTGGCAATGAAGGGAATCATTAGTTGGCACACTGCTGGACAATGTGCTGAAACCTCCAGCACTCTGACCACTGCTCCAACCAGCTACCTCACTTGATGTGTCCTAGCTCAGTAGTCGGTATAAACAGAGATCTGTTTTACAGAGCTATAACTAGGGTGGGTTGACAGCAGGTAGCAACCTGCTTTAGCACCTAGTTAGGAAGAAGTCAAAGTCCCACCAAATGGTACACTCCTACCCTGGCAACCTCATCCCAGGTAAACTCTCTGCCTAGGCCTGTCTCATCCCCCACAGTGACCTCTACCCATACAGGCCAATATCCCACAGTCTTTGTCCTCCCCCAGTAGGGTCCTGTTTCCTTGGGTCTCTTCTCCCCAAATGAATTTGTCTTTAAAAGTTGATTTTAGGAAACATTTCATGCTGCTTGTCCCATAGGGACCAAAATTGCTGCTATAGGATCCAATACATAAAGGAGTTTATTACTGGGTGGCTTAGAATATCCTTATAATACTCTTCTATTCTACTTATAATACAGTTTAAGGACAGCATTAGGCTGAAGTTCCAGCATGTCTTTCTATCCTTGAGGGATTGGCCATAACATTTTAAGCTAGAGGTTTAGCTAATCACTGTAGCTTTGCAGTGGCTTTCAAATCCTTCTGTCATGAGTCTGGAGACAGATAAAGGGAAATCAGCAGCTGAATTTTCTTCTTCTCCATGACATCATAACAAATGCCCATCATTGCCATCACACACCCAATTTTCAAAAATTTTATTTTTATTGATATCTTTTATTTTTAACTTTATTTCTGAATATATTTCTCTCCACTCTCCTTTCCAGCAAGCCATCCCTTGAAACAAAATTTTTTAAAAAAAGAAAAAAAAAAGCAATTCAGCAAAATCCACCAGTGCAAATGCTGTGTTTGGCAGTGTTTGCTATGTTCAGGGGTGAGCTAAAGCCAGTTCATATCATTTTGTGAGGGCCAATTGTTCAATTTCCAATGCCAGTGTTTATACCTGGGAAATCTGCAAGTGCTACAAGTCAGAGCTTGATTTATTGTTTTGTTGATTGTCTAGACCAGGGGTAGGGAACCTGCAGCCTCCAGGCTACATATGGCCCTCTAGGTCCTCAAGTGTAACCCTTTGACTGAATCCAAGCAGATTCAAAGGGTCACACTTGAGGACCTAAAAGGCCACATGTGGCCTCAAGGTGGCAGGTTCCCCATCCCTAGGACTCTGAACTTAAGAATGTGATGAAGAAACATTCATAATTCAGATTAAACTTAAAGTGTGTCGTGACTACATTCCCTTCCTCTCCCCCTCCCCCCCAGAGATCTGATTGTTAACTATTTACCAACATACCAATGGCTATATTCCACATTCACAGTCCCCAGTTTCTACTAAAAAAAAGAAAGCAGCTGCACTATTAATTCTCAGTCATGAGACTGATTACAACGTATAAAGACCACATCATGCAACCTTTGAGAAAATTAAAGCCTCACCTTTATTTTATACACATCAGTCAGTATACAGTTTATTACACAAGAGTTGTGCTTTGTTTACAATATATTATATTGCTTCAAGACGATGCAAAAGAGATCATACATTATATTTCTACTTTACTGTATACAATATATTATATTGTATAAATGCCACTGAGCAAGTGTTGTTTTTTTTTAATACTGAGAATTCAGGAAAAACAGGAAAATCAAAACATTGTGCTGAGATTGAAAAAAAATTAGGATGCATTCGTTTTTCCTTAAAAAGCAACACAGCTTTAAATGTCTAATGTTTAGATCTAAATATCCAATATTTAGATCTAAGTAACCGATATTTAGATTTAGATCTAAATAATAAAGAAATTTTTTAAGGGCAAAACACAGTAGCCAGTCACAGCAATCATTGCCTTGCCCAATCCCTTCTCTGTGATTTGTGGTTTGTTTTTTTTTTAAGTCAAGGGTACCGCCTCTATAATGTGCTACAATCACCTACCTTACCATTGCATTTTCAGTTTTGGAAAATCATCTGCAGCTAAGCTTAACTTGATCAATGGACTTTCTAACAGAAATGTCGTTAAAAAGAATCAAAATGAGATCTACGCCACCATGCTAAAGAAGCTCGTAGAAGACTTAAAAGGAAAATCAGCTCGGTGATTTATAATGAAGCTAATAAAATTCAGGCCAGTATTCTTCCCTGTAATGAACAGCATTCTAACATTCAACACATGAAAGGTTAACAAAGGCTATGAACATGGTGTAACTTAAAACGTTTCAGATGCTGGGGGTTCACCAGATGTAATTGGATTCAGGTGGAACATGCCTCTCTTCGGCCTTTTTAAGTAAAGGCGTGTGCTGTCTGTGCTTGGTAACCGGTGGCTTTAGGGCATGCATGAGGCTGGCTCCATACCCTGAAAAATTAACCACAGTTTAAGAGAAAAGAAATGACAAACACAGATCCTTCAGGTTCATGGTTAACCATAACGATGGAATCCATTTTCCCTTTCTGGTCCAACAGGCCTGGCCACAGAAACCACAGTATGTAGCTACCTGAGTGAGGATTGTGGGAGCACAGATCCTGATTTGGAAGATGTCAGAGGTCATCTGGTAAAAAGGTTCTTAGCCTGGGGTCCGTGAACTTAAAAAATATATATATATTGACAACTGTATTTCAATATAATTGGTCTCATTCGTAATCCTATGTAGTTTATATTTTATGTTTTTAAAGACATTCTTCTGAGGATAGGTGTCACTGCCAATGGGACAAAAAAAAAGGCTAAAAACTTATGTTCTAGTCTAACCCCTTCACTTTACAGATGAAGAAACTGTCTTGCCTAACTTTACATAGGTAGGAGATGCTAAAGGTATTCATTTCCAGAAGTCCTTCTGTGATTTGAGTTGATATGTGGTACGATTTGATTGCACCATATCAGACTTATCTTTATACAAAGACCCTGTCCTAGTAACATAGTCATAACCAAGGTGGTGACCTGGGTCTTCTAGAAACTCTTATCAATGTCAAGGGCAATTAAGAGATTGAAAAGAAACTCATGTTCTTCAGCCAAGGGCCATTAAATCTATAATGCTGATTCACAAAAAGAGAATGATAAGCCCTGTAGACAACCTGATCATAGCTTTTCTTTTGCTACACTTCCAATTCAACTGAAGCCATACAGATAGGAATTAATTTCATACTCCTTCCTCCCCCCCCGTCCCGCTCCCATATGATCAGATCTATCTTGTTGTTCACTTGTGTCTGACTCTCCGTGACCCCATTTGCGGGTTTTCGTGGCAAAGATACTAAAGTGTTTTGCCATTTCCTTCTCTAGCTCATTTTACAGATGAGGAAACTGAGGCAAACAGGGTTAAGTGACTTGCCCAGGGTCACACAGTTAGTAAGTGTCTGGGGCTAGATTTGAACACATGTCATCTTGACCCCAGGTTTGGTTCTCTATCCACTACGTCACCTAATTACTCCTAGATCTATCTACTCGAGTTATTTCAATAACCAAAATGATAAACAGCAATTAATCCTGAATGAATTTAATGCCTGTTCACCATTAGGGTTAAAAAGATAATTTAAAGAGCTCATTCTCGATGATGACTTATAAATTCATGTAAATAAGGATGGAATTATACACAGGAGTTATATCTATTTGGGAACCCACTTCCCACCAACCCAGGCCAGGGGTGCAGTGATAGCAATATACCAAGAGCCCATGTAATATCATGGAAAAACTGCTAGATGAAGAGTAACTGACTTCAACCTCTGATATTTACTAATAATGTGGCCATAGGTCCACTTACTTTCTCTAAGCCTGAGTTTTTCAAGTTCTTTTTTTTTTTTTTTTTTGCTTAGGCAATGGGGTTAAGTGACTTGCCCCGGGTCACACAGCTAGTAAGTGTTACGTGTCTGAGGCCACATTTGAACTCAGGTCCTCCTGAATCCAGGGCCGGTGCTCTATCCACTGTGCCATCTAGCTGCCCCACCTTAGTTTTTCTATCTGTAAAATGGGGGTGATAATGGCATCTATTTCATGGAGTTTTTGTGAGGCTCAAATAAGTTTGTCTGTGGGAGGTGCTTTGCAAACCTTAATTCACTATATAAATATTAGTTATTATTATTTCAAGTAGCTTGACTTGCTCCAATTCTGTCTGTGAACTCTCAGAGAGGGTTCTCTCAGTAAAAGGAGGCGGGGTGTTTCAGTTGAAACACTGCTGGGTTTGGAGTCAAAGGACCAGGGTTCAAATATTTGCCCTGATATTGTGTGACCTTGGACAAGTCATGAGCTCTCTGGGTCTCAGTTTCATCATCTGTAAAATAAAGTAGTTGAATTAGATGACCTATGAAGTCTCTTTCAACTCTAAGTCTACAATCTTATAACTTTTGTTTAGCTGTATATTAGTTCTTCATCCTAATTCAAGTCACCAAATGGATTTCCCCCAAATCTGGAAAATGGGGCCATGCTGGCAACACCTTCTGCATAGTTGCCATTTTTGTTTTGTTTTAATGAAGTTTCTTTTGCAAACAATGAAATATAATTTAATAAAGTTTATATACCTTTTTTTGATGGAAAAAAAGTTTAAAAATGGATTAGTGGAGGCTTATTAAAAGTGAAAAAAACCCCTCAAGAGTAAGCTTATGCCACTGATCAAATCAGAATTGGCATCTTCTTTGGCAATTTTGACTTTCCAGTGCAGGGCTTCTTAAACTTTTTCCACTCAAGACTCCTTTTTGTGTCTCTTCGGTGTTTGTTGGTGTTGTTGGCTTGATAGCATGCACAGTGCAAAGTGAGCATGTTGTGTGTTCAGAACCAAGGCTGCAGTGAAGTCTAGTGATGTAACACTGGCAAGCCCTGAAGAAACACCTCAGATTCATTACACGTTTGATTTTTAATTAATTTTTGGTCATTGCACATTCAGAAACCTTTGACTGTTGCCAAATTTTTCACACCCACAGTTTAAGAAGTGCTGTTCTGGTATACATAACAGTCCAGGACTGAAAACATGAGGTAGGTCTATGTTTAATTATCAGGGCATATACTATAGTTTTCCATGATGATTAAAATATGAGCCAATAATGCACCAGCGCCCCTCCCCCCAAAAAATGTCTGCCACTTGTGATCCCAGCACTTCCCTTTGAGACAAGATGGTCCTGGGCAAAATGAAGTAGGTAGACGTCTTCAGCAGTCTTCCCCATCTGTCTCCACCCAGGTACCCAGTGTTTCCATGCTGCGGCCTAGGGGTTCAGGACCTCTGAGATAGTAAACAAGCTGATATAGGTTATTGTGTGTGTGTTTTAAAAAAGGGGATAGGGGATTTGATGGAAGGGGTTATTGCTGAATTTGGTGTCCAGAACCTGAGTCAGAATCCTAGCTTTGCCACTTACTACTACCTGTGTGATCTTGGGCAAATCACGTAACTTTTCTGGGCCTTTCTCTCCTCATTTGTAAAGCAAAGGGGCCAGGGTGACTAGATCAGAGGGGTCAAACATGTACCCTCAAACACTTCTGACTGCAGCTGAACCAGATTAAAATGCAATCAGGAAATATTTAGCAAAATAAATGAAAGTACAGTAAAACATAGATAATATTGCTTCTTCTTAAACTGTCAATATGGAGCCCACAGGGATCCTCACGTATTGATTGGTGGTTCCCGTTTGTACTTTATTGTACTAGATGACCTCTAAAATGACTTTCAACACAATCTAGACCTGGAGTCCTAGGACTCCAGAACCTCTGAGGTCACCTTCTAGTCTAAATCTATGATTATTCCAGATTAGCTTAAAGATGTCCAGGCTTACTAGCTCTTGGTGATTCCTTGCCCAGAGGACTCTTGGGATACTGTGTGCTTTGGAAACTACCTGCGTAGACCTCCTCACACTTCATTTTTCCCTCAGTGGGTTCACCCAAACACTACCAAAACTAGTTATCCCTTCTAAATTGTGGTGGGTAGGAGGTGGGTGGGAGTATGGTGGCCTTCCTCTGCCCTCATGATCTGGAAAATCCACGTGAAATTTTTTTTGGCCTTCCCTTTGTACTAGAGAAGAAGTCTGAATTTTTTCTTTTTCTTTTATGGATGTTTACAGAACCTTATCATAAAATTTCGGTTGATATTATATAATAATATACATATATTTATGCATTTATGAGTTTTTAAACTTCTTCTGTATTGTCTATTGGCCTTTGTGTGTCATCAGTGGCTTCCCCAAAACTTCCCCTAAATTCCCCTTAAACTTCTTATGCCAACCCATGATATATTGAAACCAAGGTGGGTATGAGATGTGGAAGGGATAACTGTATATATGACCTTACCTTACCAAATCCATTGTTAAAAGTTGTTAAGTCCATCGTACACTATCTCAATGTGCCTTGGGCACAGCGCCATTTTAAAATTCCAGAAAAGACCTTTAGACTAAAGAATCAATGTCAATGGAATGCCAATTTCAAATATGATTTAAATAGACCTAAATTACAATTGACATGTACTTCATAATTTGAAATCTGCTGCATCAATAAGTCAAAAGTTACCATTAACAGAAGGCAGCTTTAAGTTACAAGATGTCCTCACCTCTGGAGTCAGTGGGATATGACTGAAAAAAGTTAGGGGAAATTCTGGGGCACACTCCAATAGAGCAATTCTACTCACTTTTGTTGCAATGCCGTCCGTGCCAGCCTTCCCTACACTGGCATTTATTGGGCTCCTGGCAGGTCCCGTGTGCTCCACAACCGGGCTCACAGACAGCTAGAATCAGAGGGTATAACAAAGAAAGCTTTCTGAATTTTTGTTTTCAGACCAAATTACACAGTTACTTTTCCTGCTGTTCTGTAGAATGTGTTAGTTTTGACCTCATCTCTTTCACTTGTGTGGGAAGAGGTGATTTTTTTTTCCTTAAAGTCATTCTCCAGTATAAAGTTGATTTAGCATCCGGGTCCTCTCAGTTGCCTATGAGATTAAACTATGCATGATGCCTTATGTCCACAAAACAATCAACAGCCAGTAGTGCTTTGACAGTGTAGGACAATGACCTTTGATTATCTTTTAGGAAGTTTATAATATTTAGAGAGTTCAATTTGCTCCTTTTCTCCCTCTCTTCTTTTCCTTCTTCTCTCCCTTCCCTCCCTCTCTTTCCCCTTCCCTCTTTTCTGTCCCTCCCTCTCTTCTTTCCCTCACTCTCTTCTTTCTCTCCCTCTCTCCCTTCTCTCCCTCTCTTTTTTCCCTTCCTCTTCTCTCTTTTCCATCCCTCTTTCCCTCCCTCTCTCCTTTCTTTGCCTCCTCTTTCCTTCCATCTCTCCCTTCCCTCCCTTCTTTCCATCTCTCTCTCCTTTCTCTACCTCTCTCCTTTCTCTCACTCTCTCTCCCTCTCTCCTTTCCCTCCCTCTCTTCTTCCTCTCCCTCTCTTTTTCCCCTTCCTTTTCTCTCTCTTCCATCCCCCTTTCCCTCCCTCTATTTTTTATCTCTCTTTTCCTTCCTCTCTTCTTTCTCACCCTCTCTCTTTTATTTTCCTCTTTCTTTTCCCTCTCTCCTTTCCCTCCTCTCTTTTTTCTTTCCTTCTGTCTCTCTTTTGCCCCTTTCCCTCTTATCTCCTTTCCTTTTTTCCTCCACAACCCCCTTTCCTCTTTTCTTTCCTCTCTCTCTCCCCTGTTCTTTTTCCCTCTCTTCTCCTTTTCTTTATAAGCTTGGAGTTTATCTAATTCTAAGAATCCACATAAAAAAAAACTTACATATTAGTGAAGACAAGTTAAAATGCTGCCAGTCTAGCAATAATGTACAGAAAATATAGAAGTCTCAGGAGACATCTTTTATCTACCCCATAACTGAATAGATTAGGTACACCAGGTACTTACGCTTGGAACAGAGATCTCCTTGGTAGCCTTTGGAACATTTGCATTTATTTTTACCAATACATTTACCACCATTTCTACAGGCTTGCTGACATTTGCCTAAAAGAGAAAGCCATATATGTTAACAAGCATTTAGTGCCAAGACCCGAGATCAAATCCTGTCCTGGGCACTAACTAGCTATATGACCCTGGGCAAATCATTTAATCTTTCTTAGCCTCAGTTTCCCTATCCAGAAAATGGAGCTAATTATAACACCTACCTCATAGGGTTGTAATAAGAACCAAAGGAGATTATACAAACACACATACACACATATTATGTATATAAATAAAGCACTCTATAAACCTTAAAGTGATATATATATTCTACTTATCATTACAGTGATTTAGAGATAATTACATTTTTAGTTGAGTTACATGGAATGTGTAAGAGAAATGTTTTGAAATAAAAAAATTTTGCTGTACATTTTGACACGTGTGATTCGAGATCATAGATTTAGAGATGGAAGACATCTCTGGTGTCATCTAGTCCAACTTCATATATTAGATATGGGGAAACTGAGGCCCAGAGAGGTCAAGTGATTTGCCTTAAGTCATATATGTAGTAAATAACAGAGCCAGATTTGAACTCAGGATCTTCTGACTCCAAATCCAGCATTTTTTCCACTGTACCATCCCAATTTATGGTTGTTAGTCTGAATTTCTTTTCAGGAACATACTAGTTACTTCCTTTTCCTGTAGGTATAGTTAGGTATGTCTGCTAGGTGGCGCCATATTGCAGTGGAGGGTGCAGGGCTGGGAGTTGAGAAGACTCATCTTCCTGAGTTTAAATCCAGTGTCAGACCCTTATTAGCTGTGTGACCCTGGGCAAGTCACTTCACCTTGTTTGCCTCAGTTTCCTCATCTATAAAATGAGCTAGAGAAGGAAATGGCAAACCACTCCAGTGTCTTTGCCAAGAAAATCCCAAATGAAGTCACAAAGAGCTGGACACAACTGAACAACAATATAATTAAATATTCCTTTTATTTTACAAAAGAGAAGTTTTGTTAAAAGTAATTTATGTCTATCAAAGTTTTGCAAACTGAATCAAAGAAGTTCAAAGTTGGAAGGGACCCCAGTGGCCATGCAGTCCAACCCATAACTGAAAAAGAATCTTTTCTTTATTATAATAACCAATATTTGTCCAGCTCTTGCTGGACTTGTCACAGAGAACCCACCACCTCTTGAGGCAGCCCTTTCCCCTCGGGGACAGCACTAATCATTAGTAAATCTGTTTTTGACATGACATTTAAATTTGCTTCTTTGCCATATCTAATCATCGTTCCTTGTGTCACCTCTTAGGAGCAAACAGAACAAATCTAATTCCATTTCTACCAAAAAAGTCTTTCCAGTACTTGAAGACAGCTCTTATGTCCCCCTTGAGCTTTCTGTCTTCCAGATTAAACACTCACAGTTCTTTCAGTTGGCATGTCTCCATTCTAGTTGCTCTCTGGATTATATATGTCCTTTCTAAATGTGGTACCCGGAACTGAAGACAATACTCCAGATGTAGAATGACCAAGACTTATTATAGTGACCTCCTTATTTCTGAAAGCTATACCTCTCTTAATGAAGCACAAGACTGCATTAGCTTTTTTGTCTGTTTTATCACTCTGCTAATTCATCTTGATCTTGTAGTCCACTAAAACCCTCAGATCTTTTTCATACAATTTAAGTATGTCTTCACTTTTTTTGTACTTTTAAGTTGATTTCTTTTTTTGGGGGGGATGTGCTTTTAAAGTATATTTCTTGAACATACGCATAAAAGTATAAGCATTTGTCCCCAGTAAATTTCATCTTAGTGGATTCTGACCAATTTTCTTCCCTGTCAAAATGTTGTTGGATCCTGATTCTGTCAATCTGTGTATTAATTATCCTAGTGTAGTGTGTGATGAGGGGGTGGTGTGTGTGTGGAGCTCACTTTAATTCTCTCTAGACCCTCTTTTCCTGGGCTGAGTGTATATATGTTTGTATGCATGTATGTATTGCACAGGAAGAATTTAAATAACAGAAAATCTGTCCCTTTCAGTTGGGCATAATTTCAGTTGGGTTAGAAAATAGGGTTCAAGGAGATCCTCCCATCTTGACATCTTAGGGGAAATTTTAGGCAATGTTCAATGTATATTTAATATTGATTTCTCCTTTGTGAAAGAAATTTCCAATCCACGAAAGGATTACCTATACTTGGGAAACACCTTCCAAAAAAACCAGAGAGCGTGATAATTAAGGGAATAGTTTATCATCACCTGATTCTCCCAAAAGAACATGCTGTTATTACTCCCTGAAATACGGATGAAAAAGTTATTCCTTAGGAAAAAATTATTTCAAAATTCATGAAGGGTTAATGGGGAGGAAGTTTGGCACCTCCTATTTTCGCACCTTCTTAGCTGGTGAGTGTTGGCTCAGACTGAAGTCAGTCTGACTTCTAAAGGTTTTTATTTCCAGAAGTTCAGCAAAGTTAAAATAGTCAATGTTCTACTAAGTGTCAGAGCAAGACTTCAAACACAGCTCTCTCTCGACTTCAGGCCCAGCAGTCTATTTGCTGTACCATATAAAGGTAATTTTCTTACCTTCACACCTCACTCCTTCTAATTAGCCTTGTATGATCTAACCCCTTCACTCCCAGGCTTAGATCAGAGGATGAGCAAAAAAGTGAGGCAGAAACGAGGGACATTCAGCTAGCATGCTTATATGTCGCCAGCCTTCACAGTTCTCCATACCTGCCTTTTCAGCCACGTTCCTTGTTGTTCATTTGTTTCAGTCACGTCCAACTGTTTGTGATCCCGTTTGGGGTTTTCTTGGCAAAGATACTGGAATGATTTGTCATTTCCTTCTCCGGTTCATTTTATATAGATGAGGAAACTGAGGCAAACAGGGTTAAGGGACTTGCCCAGGGTCACGTAAATAAGTGTCTGAGGCCCGATTTGAACTCAGGAAGACGAGTCTGCCTGACTCCAAGTGGGATACTCAATCCACTGTGCCACCTAGCTGCCCCATCAATGTTCCTACCAGATGAAATGGGCTCCCTTTTCTGCAAAGCTATTTTGTGATGGTAGGATATATACAAATTAAGATTCTAGAATCATGGCTCTGGAGTTGGAAAAGACCTTAGAGGCCATCTAGGATGCCTTTTTCTCATTTTACAGATGAGGATACTGAGATCTAGGGAAATTAAATGGTTTATGTGACATAAATTCCAAAGATGGGATTTGAACTGAAGTCTTCTAACATTGCTGGGTGAGGGCAAGAATATTAATGTTATTCTAGCAGCCTGGCTTGATGAGGAGAGCATTGGATTTAAAGTCATACCTCCCTTGGATTAGAATTCTGTTTCTGCTATGTAACCTTAGGCGACTGGACTTCAATTTCCTCATTCGTAAAATGAGGGGGCTGGAAGATAATGTCCCTTTAAGCTCTAGATATTTTGATTCTCTATTTTGGCGGAGGATGAAGGGAATAAGCACTTACATAGAACCTACTATGTGCCGGGCCCTGTGATAAGTGTTTTTATAAATATTATCTCATATGATACTCATAACAACCCCTTTGAGGTAGCTGCTATCATAATCCCCATTTTATAGCTGAGGAAACTGAGGCAAATAGAGATGCCCAAGGTCACCCTACTAGTACTTGTCTAAAGTCAGATTTAAACTTTGTTTTTCCTGATTCCAGGTCCAATATTCTATCCAATGTTGCTTCTGCCTCAGAGGGAAGGAGTGGGGGGAGATTTCTAAGGGAGGAAAACATTATTTGGTAAAACAGTTCGAAAAATCTTTTTCTAATTGAGTTTAAACAATTTGTATGGTTTTGTCATTGGAGAGTCATTAAAGTTCCTTGGGAAGTTTGCCAACTTAAAATTACAATCCCAATGCCCACCTTATCTGCATCTTTGTTCTTGGTGACAGGATATTTCTAACTAGCACTTTAGCCAAGCTAAACGACAGGATCGAGCCAGATTTAAATTTGGGGAGCCGTTTTGCCTTAATAGATCCCAGATGAGAAGAGATTAAATACAATATTAGGAGTGCAAACTTTCCTATCATTTATATTTCCTCCCCCTCTTGGGGTAGGAAAGGAGATAGGGCCGTGTGAATAGCTTTTCCTAACTCAGGCTCTATTTCCACAATCTTTTCCTGTGTTGTAGGGCCTATTAAACTGTGATTGCCACGATTCATTTCATAAGATATGGTTGAGGTTTCTTTGGGCCTTCTTGTTACGGGCATAAGGATATGTTTACTTCTTAGGACTTTGTAATTTCTAGCCCTAGCCTTCCACTGGGGCCTGTAATGGAATTGATATTGCAACTAGGTGGTTCAGTGGATAAAGAATTAGGCCAGGAGTCAGAAAGACCTGAGTTCAAATTCAGCTTCAGACACTTACTAACCATACATGGAAAAGTAACTGCTGTCTGCCTATTTCCTTAATTGTAAAATAAAGATAGTAATAGTACCTACTATATGGGGTTGTTGTAAGCCTCAAAGGAGATAATATTCGTCAAGCACTTAACACAGTGCCTGACACATAGTGAGTGATTAATATATATTTGTTCCCTTCTCTGTCCATGGAGAATGTACATGAATGGATGTTATATATTGGTACACTGAGGCATCATTAGAATCCTTGGTAAAGTTTCCCCCTCTCCCTGTGGAATATGAATCAACATTTCATATGCAGAATCTCAAAGGAAAAATGCCATGAACTTCTCCCTCCCTCCAAAGGCTTACTCTGAGAGAACAATATAAGGCCATTCTCTTGACACCAGCTAGGCAAATTGTGTCAAAGCTTCCTGGAAAGATTCATGACCATTGGCTGGTATCCTGTAAGAATTTATTGTTTCTTACTGCCTTTTACTTTCATTTCTAGAACCAGCCAAGAAGGCCTTCCCCTCATTTCCCAATAAAAGTTCCATAGGTAACTGTGCATCTGGGCCCAAATGGCATCATAGCACCTACCATCATAGATAAGGCCCTCTAACATCCCCCTGGTCAGCTAATATTGAATAAATCAGGAAACTTTCCAATCTCATCCTCAATTAATTACTGTAATCAAAGATCTCAGA